ACTGTATTAAAGGGTCGCGGCATTAGGAAGGTTGAGAACCACTGCCTTAGCTGCTTGCCTTGCTTCGCTTGCCTGAATCCATTGCATCAGCAAGCAACTCCCTGCCTGCAATCAAGCAGGCAGGGAGTTGTGGACTTCAACTCCCAGAATTCCTCAGCCAGCAAAACAAAGCTGGCTGAGGAATTCTGGGAGTTGAAGTCTACAAGTCTTAAAGTTGCCAAGGTTGGAGAGCCCTGTTCTATTGGGTAAGTTTTTTTCCCCTTTGGGAGCTTTAAAAAAAAATAGTTAATTGGGTTTTTTTTTTAGTTGTTCTTTTTTAGACCTAGCCATTTAAAGTTTAGGAAGTTTTAAATTTAGCTTTCATATAAAAATAAAAATAAAATAAAATAATATTTGTGCAGCTTTCTGAGATTTAGTGTGTTTCTGTAGTGTTTCACTCTAACTACACAAACACACAAAATCTCACAAAGCTGTATGTGGAATTTTGTGTGTGTAAAGTGTGAAAGTTGGGTTTTTGGGCTTTTTGTGGCTGTGTGAGGTTCCTGCTTGTTGCAGGGGCCATTTTGGGTCTAGCACAGCTGCTTTTACATTGTGGATGAGCCAGCTGTGTTGTGTTGTGTTGTGTTGTGTTGTGTTGTGTTGTGTTGTGTGTGTGTAAAGTGTGAAAGTTGTTTTTTGGGGCTTTTTGTGGCTGTGTGAGGTTCCTGCTTGTTTCAGGGGCCATTTTGGGTCTAGCACAGCTGCTTTTACATTGTGGGTGAGCCAGTTGATTTTTTTAATTTTTATTTGGTGTGCGTTGGAAGAGGGGTAGTCTTATATGGCGAGTATAGCCCAAACCCTATATTTTAACAGGAAAATTTGGGGCTCGTCTTATACGCCCAGTCGTCTTATACACCAGAAAATACGGTAACTAGGGCATGAGTGACCGTGCGCAAGGCGTCCCGATCCAGAAAGGGACGCAACTGGCGGATCAGGCGAACCTGATAAAAGGCACCCCTGGCCACGGCCGTCAAATGATCTTCTAAAGATAACCGTGAATCCAGGAGGACACCCAAGTTGCGGGCCCTCTCTGTGGGGAGCAAGATCTCATCCCCTATTGTCAGTGATGGTACTAGCTGACTATACCGGGACGCCGGAAGCCACAGCCACTCGGTCTTGGAGGGGTTGAGTCTGAGCTTGTTTCTCCCCATCCAGATCCGCACGGCCTCCAGGCAACGGGACATCACAGCAAGGGCATCATTGGGGTGGTCTGGGGTGGAGATGTATAGCTGTGTGTCATCAGCATACTGATGAACACTCACCCCAAAACCACGGATGATCTCGCCTAGCGGTTTTACATAAATGTTGAACAGAAGGGGTGAGAGGACTGACCCTTGTGGGACCCCACAAATAAGGTGCTTCGAGGTCGACCTCTGCCCCCCTGCCAACACAAACTGCGAACGGTCAGAGAGGAAGGAGGAGAACCACCGAAGCACGGTGCCCCCTATTCCTAACTCCTCCAGCCGGTGCAGTAAGATACCATGGTCGATGGTATCAAAAGCCGCTGAGAGATCTAATAGGACCAGGATAGAGGAGCAACCTCTGTCCCGAGCCCTCCAGAGATCATCCACCAATGCGACCAATGCCGTTTCAGTGCTGTATCGTGACCTGAAGCCCGACTGGAACGGATCCAGATAGACAACTTCATCCAGGTATCGGGGTAGTTGTCGCGCCACCACACTCTCAACAACCTTCGCAACAAAGCGAAGATTGGAGACTGGACGATAATTTGATAATATAGCCGGGTCCAGGGAAGGCTTCTTGAGGAGGGGCTTCACAACCGCCTCTTTCAAGGCGGCGGGAAAGATACCTCACTCAGAGAAGCATTTATAATCCCCTGGAGCCAGCCTCGTGTAACCTCCCGGGAGGCCAGTACCAACCAGGAGAGACACGGGTCCAATAAACATGTGGCAGCGTTAAGCTTGCTCAGAATCCTGTCCACGTCCTCAGGAGCCACAGAGTCAAACTCTTCCCAGATAACGCTCTCAAGACCTATCCCTGTCTCCTCCCCTGGATCTACCCAATCGGAGTCCAGCCTTCCCGAATCTGAGCGACTTTATCATGCAGGAATTGTACAAAATCCTCAGCTCGACCCTGTAAGGGATCTTCCCGTACCCCCACCTGAAGTAGGGAGCGGGTCACCCTAAACAGCGCAGCTGGGCGGTTCTCTGCAGATGCAATAAGAGCGGAGAAGTAGCTAGACTTCGCCGCTCTTATCGCCACTAGGTAGGTCTTAATATAAGATCTCACCTGTGTTCGGTCAGATTCAGATCGGCTTCTCCTATATACACGGAATTTAATAAATATTCCTGTTCTTTTAATAAAGAACAGGAACGCCTGGAGAATTATTGGCCTCTTGTCTGAAGTATTTTCATGGAAGTAAAAATAATCCTTTTGATGAAGAAGAAATTATATGAATCACAATGAAATTCAGGATCACTATTTTGGATTTATAATAAAAAGGCATTCTATTTATGTGGATAAAGCTTGTGAGCAGCTAAAGCAACAAACCATCCAGAGATAGGAAGGAAGGAGGGAAGGGAGGGAGGGAGGAAAAGAGGAGGGGAGGATGGGCTTTGGAGTCTTTGGGCAGCTGATGAAGCGGGAAAATCCCCCCAGAGACCCCCAAAAGGAGGGAGGAGGGAGGGAGGCCCTGAGAGGCCCACAAAAGAGACACACTCACAACACCAACACAATTGGCACTTGGGGCACTTTCGGAGGTTATGAAAAATCACTAGAGAAATGAATAAAAGTGGTGAAATATCTATGTTAAATATTATTGGAATGAGAATTATTTCAAGTACTGTGCCAGATAACAAGAATGTTATGCTGTTTGTAGGGGAAAATAAACATTAAATATCATCCAGAAACAAATTAAACAGCTGAATATTATTATCTCCATGAAAATATCCTCTTTGGTAGTAAAAACATTTCCAAATGCATCTTATGTGGCAGCTGAAAATCCTCCCAGGTTTGCAGGGAAGAATTTAGGAGTGAAAATGAGTTTTGCCTCCAGACTGAATATGTGGAGCGCAAAATCTCTGTTGGTTCCTCTAAAACATTTAATAATTTGCACCAAGAGGCTTTTCTCTCTTAGGATCTGGAGGTTTTCCTCTTATGGAAGATCTTATTGGATTCTATGGTGAGACGTTATTTTTGGAGAATCTCTGGAGTCACAATGGGAACATTAAACTTAACCAGTTCTTAAGTAATGATGCTCTCTGATTCTAACTAATAAATATAATTTCCCTGGAAAGGCTGAATGGCAACAAGGGCAGTTAAATCCTTGATTTGCGCAATGCTTGGCCTCTGAAACCCCGTCAGTCGATAGAAATATAGAAGATTTTTATTAGAGAAAAAAATAAAAGGAGAAAAACAAATGTAGGCAACATTGAAGGAATCTGGAAGAGAGAATGAAAGAATCTGAGGCTTCAGGGCTGAATGGAGGTCCAATTTCTTTCTTATGACCCCAAATTCAGTTTTAAGGCTTGTGGGTGTTTTGCCTGCATTGAGCAGGAGAGAGAGAGAGAGAGACCTGGCTGGGTTCCCCTCCCCCCCAAAAAAAACTTATCTGGGTGGATTTTCTGGGGGGGAAATGGATCAAAGGAGGAGAGATTTTGTGAATCTGAGAGTGCAGAATAAATAAATAAATAAATAAATGAGGAGCAAAACCTCCATCCGGGAGGATCCCAAGGAATGAAAGGAAATGAAGGGGGGGGGTCCTGGCGTCCCCCTCCCAGGGAAGAGCCCCCCCTCCCTCCCTCCCCCCCCCAGACTCACCTCTCCGGCCAATCGTGCGCTCCTCCCTCTTGGCCGCCTGGTAGCTGCCCACCTTGTAGGCCTGTCGGCAGAAGCGATCCACAGCCGCCTTCGCGTCCTGCAGGTAGAACTTGTCTCTGTTCCAAGAGTCCGCATCCACCTTCCCAAACTCCGTGACGGCCACGAACTCCCCGAGGTCGCTGTCGAAGCGGGCGAACTCCTGCCGGTCATAGATGTATCTTTGCAGGTATCTCACCCGCTGCGTCCCGTTGAGGAAGCGGCACTCGGACTTCACCTGGGCCAGGAAATGGGCTGCGAGGGGGAGGAGGAGGGGAAGGAGGAAGGCGGTCAGGAGGGACTCGAGGGCCCATCGCTCACAGCCACTAGCAGAGGAGGGAGGGACCCACGTGGGAAGGAGGAGGGTGTCGGGGGACCTTCCTTTGAGGTCCTGGTGGAAGACGCCCCCTGGAGGAGGGAGCAGGAACTCTTTCAGTCCCAGAGAGGAAGGCAGACTCGCTGGGGGGGTCTGGAGGGGGGGGAGGGGAAGAGAGAGGGGGAGGGGTGGGAAAAGGGAGGCAGAAGCTCAACCGGTCCAGCGATCCCATTCAGTCTCTGCAGGGAAGGTTGGACCTCAAGGGGCAGGAAGGATGGGGGGGCTGGAGGGAAAGTAGCTTCCATCCCCCCCACTCTCTCTTCCTTTGGGAGGGGATCTGGGGAGGGGCCACAATGAGGACATCTAGACCGACTCTCCCGGGGTCTCCCAGCCCTTCAACCCCCACCTTCCCTCCCTCTCTCCCCCCCTTTCTTCTTCCCCCCAATCTTCAGCCCAGCTCCCTCCCTTTGGGGGACTGTGGAGGATACCCCCTCTTTCCTCTCCCCCTCCCCAAAAAGACCCTGCAGTGCAGCCCCCCCGAAGAGCCTCTCAAAGGGAGGGTCTCCCGCCCCCTCCTCCTCCCTCCCTTTCCCTCTTTCGCTTTTCCTCCCCTTCCTCCTTCCCTGCAGCCCCCTCCCACCCAGGCACAGGAGAGGCCGCGACCCCCACCTGGGCTACCTGGGGGAAGGGTTAGGATTAGGGTCCCTCTCCGTCCTCCTGGGGGGGGCTGTGGGGAGGAAGGGGGAGGAGACCACGCAGAGATCGAGGCCGGTGGAGGCTTCCTTCCCCCTTCCCAGCCCCCTCCTCCCCCGCCCAGCCCCCTCCTTACCGGGGGTCTCCTCCCCCCCTTCGCTCCCGGGGATCCGGGCCAGCGCCCCCAGCAGCAGCATCAGGGGGAGCCCAGCCAAAGCCATGGAGGCTCCCCACAAGCGCCCCAAAGGGGGGAGAAAGACGCTCCCAGCCCCAGAGGAGGAATCGGAGGGTCTGGAGGGGGGGAGGAGTTTCCCTCGGACTTCGGAAGAGGGAGAGTCCTCAAAGAGCAGGAGGACCAATGGGAATCCTCCCTTCTGCAGCGTCATCGGTCTCCGGGCAGAGCCTCCCTTGACTTCGCCCGATGCAGGAGAGAGTTCTGCGCAGAGAGAGAAGCGGAGAAAGTGGGGGAGGGGAATCCCTTCAGTCTTGGGGGTCTTTCATGCCAGCTCCGGAGGAGAATCTCCTCTTCCTTTTGCCCCCTTCCCCCCCCCCATGATTCTCCTCCACTCTCCCTTTCTCTGGGCGCCTGGACTGGAGGGTGGACTAGATGCCCTTTGAGTTCCCACAGTGCCCAGAAGGAGCCTAAGCTGGAGCTGCCGAGAGTCCAGAAGGGCAAAGTGGATCCAGAGCTCGAGGGTCCTTCGGGGCTCAGAAGGGGAGGAGGGAGTCCCCAGCAGCTGCCCTGGACGACAAGGGGGGAGGGGCAGCCCCACAGCCAGCCAGGACTTGGGGGTCACACGCTCCCCCCAATCCGAAGGGAAGCCAGGAAAACCCTCAGCTGACAGTCCAGGCAGGATCTGCAGGGATCCCTCCTAATCCAGCCGGATCCTCCCCCTTCACGGGGGAATCTCCGTAGGGATCTCTTGGCTTCACAAGAGAAAAGGGCGATTTTCCTTCCTTGAAACACGCGTCTCCCCTGCACCTCCTTCCGATTCCCCAACCCCAAATGTGAAGGAATCTCCCTCTTTCTTTCTTTCTTTCTTTCTTTCTTTCTTTCTTTCTTTCTTTCTTTCTTTCTTTCTTTCTTTCTTTCTTCCTTCCTTCCTCTTTCTTTCTTTCTTTCTCTTTCTTTCTTCCTTCCTTCCTTCCTTCCTCTTTCTTTCTTTCTTTCTTTCTTTCTTCCTTCCTTCCTTCCTTCCTTCCTCTTTCTTTCTTTCTTTCTTTCTTTCTTTCTTTCTTTCTTTCTTCCTTCCTTCCGCTTTCTTTCTTTCTTTCTTTCTTTCTTTCTTTCTTTCTTTCTTTCTTCCTTCCTTCCTCTTTCTTTCTTTCTTTCTCTTTCTTTCTTCCTTCCTTCCTTCCTTCCTCTTTCTTTCTTTCTTTCTTTCTTTCTTCCTTCCTTCCTTCCTTCCTCTTTCTTTCTTTCTTTCTTTCTTTCTTCCTTCCTTCCGCTTTCTTTCTTTCTTTCTTTCTTTCTTTCTTTCTTTCTTTCTTTCTTTCTTTCTTTCTTCCTTCCTTCCTTCCTCTTTCTTTCTTTCTTTCTCTTTCTTTCTTCCTTCCTTCCTTCCTTCCTCTTTCTTTCTTTCTTTCTTTCTTTCTTTCTTCCTTCCTTCCTTCCTTCCTCTTTCTTTCTTTCTTTCTTTCTTTCTTTCTTTCTTTCTTCCTTCCTTCCGCTTTCTTTCTTTCTTTCTTTCTTTCTTTCTTTCTTTCTTTCTTTCTTCCTTCCTTCCTTCCTCTTTCTTTCTTTCTTTCTCTTTCTTTCTTCCTTCCTTCCTTCCTTCCTCTTTCTTTCTTTCTTTCTTTCTTTCTTCCTTCCTTCCTTCCTTCCTCTTTCTTTCTTTCTTTCTTTCTTTCTTTCTTTCTTTCTTTCTTTCTTTCTTTCTTCCTTCCTTCCGCTTTCTTTCTTTCTTTCTTTCTTTCTTTCTTTCTTTCTTTCTTCCTTCCTTCCTTCCTTCCTTCCTTCCTTCCTTCCTTTCTTTCTTTCTGTGTGTCGGGATCCCCCTTTTCCTTGCAAAGCAGCCCCAGATGAGGATCCAGGAATGAAGTTCGGCCGTTTCTCCTCCGCTTCCCGCTCCTTTCCTCGGAGAATGTCCACATCTTTGCCATAATGCACAACAATCTCTACTTTCAGCAGAAAAAAAAATAAAGTAACATTTTGGCATCTGATTGTGCAGCTCTAGAGTGGAATCGTGATGAGATTTGCCTATTTTGGCTGTGGAACAGGAAGAGTCCCTAAAACAAAAGGCTCCTTTTTATGATTTTTTTATTACGATTATAAGGGCATGAAAGAGAAAATAAAAGTAGTAGGGAAATGGGGAAGGGAAAGAAAGGGAAGGAGAAGTGGGGGATAAAGGGCAAAAGGAAAAAAGAGAGGAAAAAAACTTTTCTCAGCAAGTGAAATTGGAGCCTCGGTTTTTATTTCTTCTGTAAGTAAATTTTAACCATTTCTATACCAACAACTTAACTTAATCAATAAATCCCAAAAGTCCAGATTTCACTTTTTTTTCTGCTGCAACACAAAGTCCAGAAGTGGCTTCCAGGTAGAAAAACAGCTGGAAATCTCTTCTTTCCTCTGGTCAAAAAGTTTATTTCTCCATCTCTGCCCACTTTTTCATTCCATCACTTCGTCCCTCCTGGGGATGGAGGTTTCTCTCCATTTTTGCATATAAGGAATTCTTGCTGCAGTCAGCAGGTCCAGTAATAAAGTCATAAATTCATATTTCAAGTTCCTTGTCCAGGAATCCCGAGAGGAAAACTTCTGGTTGTCAATAAGTGCTGTGGGGTTTTCTGACCCACCGCATAGAGGTCGGCTTCAGTTCCAGAATGGCTGCTGGTGAGCTGGGGGGGGGGGAGAGAATCGGGGGGGGAGAATCATCCCCCAGAAGGACCGGAGGAGGGGAGCCCATCGGGGGTTCAGCCCAGCGCCAGGAGGGTCCCCGGCAGCTTCCCCTTTTAAGGAGAGTCCCAGGGTTTCTCCCCCTTCCCCCTATGCAGGAGGGGCTGGGGGGGCCGAAGGCTTCGGGTGGGGGGAGGGCCGAGGGGGAGAGGGAGACTCAAAGGCTGAAGGGGGCCTTAGAGATCTTCTAGTCCAGCCCCCCCTGGCCGAGGCAGGAGCCCTTATCCCACCCCGGACAAATGGCTCTCCGACTTCTTGGAGAGGGATGGAGCCCCCCCCCCGATTCATTGGTTCTCAGGTGATGCCTCCCCATCTCCTCTCCTGGGGCTTCCAAGGGGGGGTCTGAGTTCAGCCATGAGGCTGCCAAGGGGGGCTCCAGGGAGAAGAGGGAAATTGTCCCTAATTGACTTAATTAGGAGGTTAATCAAAGGGGAGCCCTCCCTCCCTCCCTCCCTCCCTCCCTCCAGAGGTTTCCTATTGAGCAGGAGGAAGATGGGGCGGCCATGGGGGAGGCAGCAAAGGGGGGAGCCAGAAATGTCAGAAGGAAAAGTGGGGAGGGGACAGGAAGGGCAGTTTAGAGCCTGCAGTGCTCCCTCCCCCTCCCCCAAGGACAGGGATCCTCCCCCCCCTTCCCTCCTGCAGCCTCCCAGAACCTGGAGGAAGTTTTCGTGCTTTGTGTGTGTCTGTTTTGGTGTTTGAGGGCACCTCATGGTGGAGTTTTGCGCAAGGAAAATCTGACTGAAATTTCAAGGCTTTCCTTCGTCTGGAGCACGGAGGCCCTGCAGGGAGAGCTTGAGGGCGGTTCGATCTGTTCAGAAATGATTTTTTTAAAAAAGAAAATGGAAGAATTAAAGGGTTTTTAGAAACTGGGGTGGGGGAGGGGTTCAGGTGAGGGAGGAAGAGGAGAAACTCACCTGCAGGAGGTCGGATGGGAGTTGCTGGAAGGAGAAAAAAGCCAATCAGGAGCCTTCCTGGGCTGGGGGAGTCAGAGGAGCCCCCTCCCCATCAAGAGATCCCACAACATTTCCTGATGGGAGAAAGCTCTCAAAATACATTTCTCCACCCTGACCTCGACCTACCTAGGCAGGGTGGATCTCCCAGGGGTCAGACTTCCTGGCCCAACAAGACCTTCTGTGCCACCTTGAGGAGAGGCCTCCACCAGAGGACCCCCTTCCTCTCCAGCCCCACAGACTCCCCTTTCCTGCCCTTCAGGGTGAGGGTCAGGCATTGACCAAATCCCCCTCAGTCAATTGCGGAAGGCAGCTCTGCTTGCAACTGCTGAAATCCCGCGAGGAGGAGACCTTTGGCGCCATCAAACTCCCACCTCCGCCTCTCCCGGGTCCTCGGAAGGGCTCGATGGGCGGACACAAAGGCCAAATCCAGGCTGAACAGCTGAACCTCCCCCGGCCCCTCCGAGAACCATCTCCTCCAAAGGACCCCTCGGAGGCTCCTCGGCCTGGAGACGGATGACGCTCACAAAGCTCCATTTTTCATTGGGTGAATCCGATGTTTGACTTTCTGGAAGTCAGAAATTGAATTCTGCAGCGCTGCTGTTCCCCCCTCTTGATTTCACCTCCCCCTCTCCCCCCTCGCTTTTCCCCTCCCCCTCACTCTCCTCCCTCCCCCTAACTCTCCTCCCTCCCTCGGCCCTCCACTCCTCATCCCTCCCCCTCACTCTTCCCCCTGGCTCCCTCCCCACTCCCTCCCACCCCCAGTTTTCCCTCCTGCTCTACGTGGGCAGCCTTTCCTCCCTCTTGACCCAGGACTGGGGGTCTGTCTTCCTCATGCACCTGAGGCCGGCAGGAAAGAGGGGATCGCTCTGGGGGAGGAGCGTAAAGAGGAGTTTGGAGACCCCCAATTTCCTCCCTTGGGCCCTGAACCTCAGGAAGGTGGGAAAGACTAAAAGGCTACTGTATTTAGAGGTGGGGGCAAGGACCAAGGAAGGTGAGACCCCCACTCATTTTAACCTTGTCCCCTCTCTCTGGACAAGGGGAATTGGGTTCCCACGAGGTCTTCCAAAGGGCAGGAACTGAGAAAGGGGGGAGGGGGAGGAGAGTTTCGGGGAGATCAGGCAAGGCTGAGAGAGGAACGGGAAGTGAATCTTTTGAGGGAGGGGAGTTCGAGGAGGGCCTGGAGCTTCTCCCTCCTTGTCTTGGAGGAGTTTCAGCCTCTACAGCAGCCCAGAGGCTTCCTGGTGGTCTCCCATCCTCAGGCTCACCAGGCCCATCTCTCTCAGCTGGGTGAGGGCATCGGAGGCTGGGCAGCTGCCAGCGGTTGAGGGCTGAGGATCAAATGCCAGCTAATGGTTGGTGATGCCAGATCAGAGCCCCCACCCTCTCCCAGCTGCAGCAGGCAGACATCCCACAGGGCGCCTATCCTGAGGCGGCCTGGATCCTCTCCTGGGATGGGGGGAGGGGCAGCACCAGCCTCAGCAGGCCAGAACTGGGTCCCCTCCTGCAGCTGAAGGAGGCGGCAGAGTCCGAACCTGTTGCACAATTGTGTGTTTGGACACAGCCAGTCACCCAAAATTGGCCCCAGATCCAGAGAGACTCTGGTGGGATCCCATCGCTCTCCTGATCAAAGCAGAACTTCTGGGCTCTTCTCAGGTTTCCCCTCCCCCACAAGACTTTGGTTCTCCCTTGAGTTCTTCCTGACACCCCCCACCCCTCACACACACACACACACACACACACACACACACACACACACACACAGAGCAGCCCTTATATAAGAATAAGCCCTTAAGCTTATTCGTTCCCATCAGTGTCTTGTCCGTTCGTTGCAGCCTCTTTAAATACCTTCCAATTTCTGCCCTTGAAGGAATCTCCTCATAGAGCCTCCACGGCTTCTGCCGGCCACAGTCTCCCTAGTTCTCTCCTGGGTCCTCTCTGATGAACCTTAAAGGCTTCTCTGCTGACCGGAGCCTCCCAGAGAGAGGATCGGAGGGGCCAGGAGGAGGGGGAGGGGGAGGGGGAGGGGCGGCTTTAAAGGCTCCCTGGGGGTTGGAGGAGGCCCCGTCCAGGGTCTCCCCTCCCCTGGTGGCAAAGGCCCCGTATGGGGGGAAAGGAGGGGGGGCTGCTTTCAAGGCGGCCTCTGGTCTGCTGGGTTTCCCAGGAGCCTCTTTCCTCTTCCACCAGGCCCAGAACCTGCCTCCCAGGTGAGGCCAGGGGAGTCCAAGCCCCCCATGACTCTTGGGGGGAGCTTCCTCCGGGCCTCGGCTAAGTAACAGAAACTTCCATCTCTTTCCTCTAGTTGGTTGGGAGGCTCCGAATATTCCCCCATCCCTCTTTTCTCCCCTTTTATATCAACCCAAATGCATTGAAGGAGGTTTTTCTTTCTTCTGTTGCGTTTCTAGATCAGTTTATTTTTTATATACATAGTGCAACTCCACCTCCTCTTTTATTGGGTCTGTTTCTTTGGAGCACTTTAAATGTGAAGATATTAAATGTTGAGAGCTGGAAGAGGAAAATGCACAATGGTCCAGAACACACGTTGTGGCTGAGTGCGTGCAGGCTCCTGTATGAGGTGATCTGCGCTCTGATTGGTTGCTTTGGGTGGAAAGGGGGAGTTTCCCTTTTTCCCGCCTTTTTCTTCCATGGGCTCAGAATGCTGTTTGAGATTTACCTCACAATCTCCCTGCATTCCCGACTCTCTTGTCTGCTGTGAATGTAGATGTGAAATACATTTATTTACATAAAACTACAAGTTTGTGTCCGTGTCTCCCACTTCCTTTGGACAGCTGCTGCCTGATTCCTCCGCATTAAATCCCTTTCGTTGCACCTCCCAATTTTGGGTTTCATCCCATGAGGTTTTGGTGATTGCAACAATGTCACACCTGCCTTTGGGCTCCACCTTCACCCCATTTATTCCTCGTACTATGAGCATCCGTGCAGAGGCATCTGAGTCCCTCTTTGACTGACCCCATATTTGCTTTCTACATCTCCTGCTCTGTCTCCGAGTTTCTCTTCTTTCTTTCCATTTGGTTGATTCCCCTGAGATTTGAGCTTGGAATTTGCTTCTAAAACTTTGTCTCCCTCTCACTTCGGACTCACTTTCAAGCCCTTCGGATGAGGCGAGCCGGTTGGTGTCCAAAGCCGACCTTCTGGGTTCTTGTGAGGGGCAGCTCATCCCCTGCCAGAAGCCCCCCATGTGGGTGTTGTGGACCATGGTCCAAGAATCCCAATTTCCCTTGAGTGAACCATCCCCTAAGCCAGGCTTGACTTCCCCCCTTGGATGGTTCCCTTTATTGGGAGAGTGGAAGAGAAATCCCCCTGTGCCCCCAACTCTTGGGCTCCCTTGCCCACCTGCTCCGAGTCTCTTGGCATCATTTCCAGGGACTTTTTCATTCCTCCCAGCATGAAAGAGGAAAAAGGGATAAGAATCTGTGGGCTTCATTATTTCTGTAAGCCCCTCAGTCACGTCTTTGATAGCTGCTCCTGGGAAACAACCAACCCCCTTAGTTTGATTGTCCGTCTTAGAAACGGCTGTTTCAGTTCCCCTAAACAATGAATCAACACAAGACTTTCTTTTTTCCTTAAGGAGGTCCGGTCTAATTTTCCCCCCTGCCATTGGTACATTTGGTGTTGTCCCTTCTCCAGGTTCTTGCACACTGTCTTGCAAGGGGAGGCATTGCTCAAAGGAGCCCAAATCTTCTCAGGCAATTTCAGACAATTCCTACAATCACACTCCGACCTATTTTTCCTGTGGTGGCTCCGAGACCCCAGATGAGGAAGGGGAGGGGGAAATTCTGCCTCGGTGATGGAGGCCCCTGGAGTCCTGCAGAGTCAGTCTGGATGAGCTCTGGAGAGGGCGAGGCTCAGTTGGAGGGCTGTCTAGGGGCATCTAGAGGTGCTGGGGAGAAGGGAGGGGTCTTCCACTCAGGGCTGCCCCATTGAACTCCCTCCCTCTTTTTCCCACAGAGCAGGTCTTCCCCTCCGTGGCATATTTCTTCTACATCAGGAACGGCTTCAGATGGATTCCTTGGAGGTCATCTAGTCCAACCTCCTGCTCAGGCCTACACCATTTATACCATCGAGCAGGAGACTCTATACCATTGGAATCTGAGCCCCAAAGAGGGAGGGAGCCATTGGGTGCCAAAATGGGGCAGGACCCTCCAGTTGTGAAGGAGGGAAATGGCTGAAATGGCTGGGTGAATGTAGGGGAGTCTCGGGTGCCCCCCAATGGCTCCCCACAAATGCTCAGGGAGGACCGTGCCTGCTGCCCTTCTGCTCCTCCAAAGGGGGCTTGAGGGGAAGCAGAGCAAGGGGGCCTCTGAGCAGAAAGGGGGGTCCTGCCCCTTCGCCTCCCTGGATCTGCCCACCCTCCTCCTGAACCAGTTCTGGCTTCGGACCAAAAGTAGCCTGGATGGTGGATCCAGAGGCAGCGGAGGGAGGAGCCTCCTGTGGGGGCAGCAAAAAGGAAGAGGAGGAAGAGGAAGGGAGGATTCCAGGGTTTTCTTACATCTGAAGTTTATTCTTTTATAGCAAAGCGAAGGGAAGGGAAGTGAGTGGGAGGAAGAATAATGTAGATGAAGCTGCTGTGGGTTCAAAGCCAGGAGAGTTGAGGGGTCTGGAGTGACAGGTCCACCTAGCATCCCTGGGGACAGTCTAGATGGTCTCCACCCCTCCCTCACAAGAAAGAGAGGCCCTGAAAGGAAGCTGGTGTGTGTGTGTGTCTCAGCAGGAGAAGGTCCAGGCTGCCATTCTCCTCCTCCCCACAAACTGCCACCTTCAGCCTCCATTTCTCACAGGTTGCAAACAGGACAAAGAGTCTTCAGCTGTTAAATAAAAAATATGCTTTTGCATCAGAGAGCAGGATTAATTCATGAGTGCTGTAGAAAAAGAGATGGGGAAGAAAATCAGAATATAAAGAGACACTTTTGCTGTAAATACTATATTCTTCTTCCCTTTCATCCCCACCCCCAAGGCAGACCCACACTGCAGGGGGGTGGTTGACAGGCAGGGACACATAGAGAGAGAATCCGCCCATTTCAGGGAGGAAAAGGCTGGGATGCTTCATAGGAAGAAAGAAGACGGGGCTACGATGGGGGTGGCAGCAAAGGGGGGAGCCTGGGCTCACTTGGCCAGAAATTGTGGGAATTCTCACAAGGAGAAGGGGGGTCAGGAAGAAGAGCCCGTCCAGGTTCCAACTAATGAACCCAAAGGAGTCTGTATGGGGTGCCAAGAAGGATCCTCTCGGACCGGAGGGTGGGGTGCAGTTCAGGGAGAAGTTTTGGAGGGAGTTCATTAAGTTGATAGGGTCATCTCAAAGATTTAGCTCCACCTCCCACCCAAGGACGAACGGAGGTATAGAACGAGTTAATCCAATGATAGAACAATACCTGAGATGCTATGATAATTATCAGCAGTTTAGCTGGGCAGATCTCCTGCCATTTGCTGAAGTGGCCTACATTACCGCAGTGCATAGTAGGGGTGAAATGTAAAATTTGTTACTACTAGTTCTGTGGGCGTGGCTTGGTGGTGGTGGGTGTAATGTGACTGGGTGGGCATGGCCAACTTTTTTTTTTTACTTCTAAAAACATTTTTTCGGCAGAAAAGGTTGTAGAAAAAATGCTTTTAAAACTAAAAAAAAAAAAAAAAGCCTCTGATGATCGTGCGGCTCATCTACCATCGCTACCGGATTAGGCGATCCAGTCCGAACCGGGAGCATTTCACCCCTGGTGTCACCCCTTTAGCCACACGGTGGAATTTTCCTCATGCCTGGATACCCTCAGGAACCCCCCTCCACTGTGAGCCTAACAGAATGGGTGGGTTGCTTACAAAATCCGTGGGGGAATGTAAACCTGGGGTGCTCCCTCCCCAAGGGAGGAATGGGAAGGAATGCCCCCCCCTTCCCTTCCCTTCCCTTCCCTTTTGCAATTTCCCAAAACATGGAAAAATTCTGGGCAAGATTTTAGCATTTGTGTGTGCTTTTGTTTTTGATTGCAATACTTTTTCAGATCTCTGTAAAGAAACGTTGCCCAAAATCCAAAAAACTGCTCTATCCACAACAAGGAGGCAAGTTTTTTTTAAAAAAAGGAACAATTAATGTATTAAAAAAAGCCACCTATAACTCTTAGGAGAGGTTGAGATGAGGGAAGAAGAGGAGAAACTCACCTGCAGGAGGTTGGATGGGAGTTGCTGGAAGGAGAAAAAGACCCAATCAGAACCCTTCGTGGGCTGGAGGAGTCAGCGGGACCCCTCCCCATTGATAGCCCATAATAGGTTGTGTGATCTTCACTTATAGCCCCTCCAAGAACAGAAATTCCCATAAATATTCCTTAAGGGGCCCCTCTTGGCCACCTGCTAAGCTTGATGAGAGGCCTCCCCTAGAGGGTCCCCTCCCCACAACCTCCCCTCCAGCCCCCCAGACTCACCTTTCTTGCTCTTCAGGTAGGAGAAGAGCCCCACAGCCAGGAAGGCCACTCCTATCACGGCCCCCATGATCCCCGTCCAGAGTTTGCTCCTGGCAGAGCTGGAGGATCGGGGCTCTGGGGAAGGAGAAGGAGCCTCGCCTGAGCAGGAGGATCAGGCCCACTTTCCCCCAGGAGGCTCCATTCCAGCTCCCCCCCCATGGGATGGGTCTTTCTCCCTTCTCAGGGCACGATGGGGTTCCCAGACCAGGAGGGAAGAAAGGGGAGGGGAGGGGCTCTTACCCCACTGGACAGTGATGGGGGCCTCCAGGCTGGCATGCCCCACCTTGCAAGTGTAGATGTCCCCCCGTTGGGGCTGGGTCTCCAGCATCACCTGGAGCTGGTAGGTCCAGTCTCCGTTCTGGAGCTCCTCCCCAAAGGCCACGCCCTCCTCCTCCGGCCGCCCGTTCTTCAGCCACTGGACCTCGATCTCCACGGGGTAAAAGCCGGTCGCGGTGCAGAGGAGGATGGTGTTGGGGGAAGAGGGCTCCATCTTGGTGGGGGAGATGGAGACGGTGGGCTTGGCTGGAGGGAAGGAGGGGAAGGAGGCACATGAGAGACACAACAGGAAAGAAACGACGCAGAAGACGGGAAGGACAGACGCAGCACGAGTCGGATGATTCTTGGGATCTCGTTGAAAATGAAACCAGATTTTTAATTAGATCTAATACCACAACATTTGTTTATTTGTTTGTTTAGTAAATTTAGTTATTTATTAAATTTATTTCCCAAAGTGACACAACTAACCCAAAGTCTCACAGACACTCTCCTAGCCGTGACTGCCACCTGCTCTCCGGGAGTCCAGGAGAATCTCCAGAATTGCCAACTGGATCTCTGGGACAATGCAGCTCCACCCAGAAGGAAGTTGGTTAAAGTCCCCCATCTTGGGGCTCCCAACACCCAAAGCCCTTTGGCCTTTCCAGGGTTCAGCCGAAGCCCCTAACCCCCCATTCAGCCCCTCCCCCCACAGCCTCCAGGACCCTCGAGGGGGCAGCCTCAGCATCTCCTGGGTCCCCAGAGGTGGAGATGAAACCTTATAACATCAGCAGACGGAGGAGACCTCCAGCCCTGGTGACGGATGGCCTCACCCAGCGGCTTCATGCGGAGGTTATAGAGGAGAGGAGAGAGGACGGAGCCAAATGCCTCTGAGCAGCCCTGAAGGTGATCAACCAAGTTTGCCAAAGAAAGAAAGAAAGAGAAAGAGAAAGAGAAAGAGAAAGAGAAAGAGAAGAGGAGAGGAGAGGAGAGGAGAGGAGAAGAGAAGAGAAGAGAAGAGAAGAGAGAGAAGAGAAGAGAAGAGAAGAGAAGAGAAGAGAAGAGAAGAGAAGAGAAGAGAAGATCTTTGTCCCAATTTTCTTTGGTGTTTCAATCACTTTTCAAAAAGTTTTATTTGGAGAGAGAAAATTTCTCCTTCCACTTTTCCTTTTCTCCCTTTAGGATCCACAAGATACACAAAAAATCAGCAGAAGATTTCAGGGGGAAAAGTGCAAAATGTGATGTGGCTGCAAAACCCCCCAATTTTAGGCAGCCTCAACAGAAAGAGGCATTTTGAAGGAAAGGGCAAAGGAGGCCAATGGGGGGGGGCAGCCCTTTGCTCCCCATAACTGCCAGAATCCCCTGAAGGAAAAGTTTCTCCCCCATTGAAGATGAGAGACCCTGAATCCCCCCTTCAGAGCAGGAAGGGCAGAAGAGGTTTTGGGGGATCTCATGATCTCTCTCAAGGATCCTTCCTGGGGGGGGGGCTTTGGGGGGATTCAGAGGGAGACCCACCTCAGACCAGGCTCTGCCTGCACCCAGCCGGCCTCCTTCCCAGCCGCAGGAACCGGCCATTCCTGGGGAAGGAGGTGGGGAGGGGTCCCTCTGACTCCCAGAGGGAAGCTTCTGCCCTGGATGAGGGGGGCAGGGAGTGGGGAAGGGATCCAGAGGGGATCTGGGATCTTGATCTCCTCCTTCAGCAAATGCTCCAACTGGCACAACTCTTGGATGGATTAATGGGGGGGGTTTAGTCTGGATGAGCCCCCCAAGAGAGTTGACAATAGATCCATTCCAGCCCAGAGTCCTTTGCTAACCATTTTTTTTTTCTCTTGAGGGATTTTCTTATTAACAGTAAATTCTATAATGCTTAAGAAGAACCCATTTTTAAATGGTTCTTTGTAATTCCAACCTGGGATCTGGTCAGGTTTCCACGCAGACAAATAGCAACATTTCAGGTGTGAGTTGTTTTTATTTTCCAGGAAAATCCCATTTGCCTCTTGGGACATTAAAGGCCTTTGTGGAATTGCTAAAAGAAGGCAGAGGCTTTACAAACTGAAAATGGCTTTTTTTTTTTCTCAACAGGAAATGCAAAGTTTGGATGAGAAAAAGTCTTTTAGCAAGAAAATGGAAGGATCAGATTTTAAAGCTGCAATTTGGTATTTTTCCATGTTTATTTTTATAGCCCATCCCAAACCTCCTTATTTACAAGACTGCCGTGTGAAGATTTTGGGGTTCCTATTTGGCCAGATGGGAGTTGCTGGAGATTTTAATTGGATCGGAAAAAGGTATTTTTTTCCCCTTTTAAATACCTCCCAAGGGACACAACTTTCTCCCTCTGCCCATCCAAGAATCCAATTTAATAGACAAATAGAGACCTCTTGATTTAAAACAGCAGGAGGACAAAGTACATTTTACCTGCCCCACATCATGTCATTCAAGATTTCTTTTTGATATCAAGCTTGATGCCTAATGTAGTAAAATAATGTAGTAAAATAGGAGACAGATATAAATCAGAGTTTCTTGTAAAAATCAAATCCAGAAAGCACCCACAGGCAGACTGATTCAGCTGGATTCATTAAGTTCTTTATATACATATATATAATTGTGGGGAGAGTTGAGGGAAGGTTGAGAGCCTCTCTTGGTGGCCGGAGAAAAGCTTTGGCCTCTCGGGGGAAGGAGACGCCCGGATCTCTCCGGAGAGAAAAGTCAGCTCAGAAGTCAAAGAAAAAGGAAGAGAAAATTCCCCCAAAGAGACTCAAGAAACATCCGATGATTTCAGGTCTCCTCAACTGGAGCCTGACCAACAATTGGCTCTAAATACATGGAATATTTATTCAAAGAACTGGAGAATTATTGGCCTCTTGTCTGAAGTATTTTCATGGAAGTAAAAATAATACTTTTGATGAAGAAGAAATTATATGAATCACAATGAAATTCAGGATCACCATTTTGGATTTATAATAAAAATTCATTCTATTTATGTGGATGAAGCTTCTGAGCAGCTAAAGCAACAAAACATCCAGAGATTTTGGTCCTGTCCCTGAACCAGGTAGGGAGGAAGGGAGGAGGGAAAGGAGAAAAAGAGGAGGGGAGGATGGTCTTTGGAGTCTTTGGGCAGCTGATGAAGCTCCTTTCCCTGAAGGTAAAATCCCCCCAGAGACCCTCAAAAGGAGGGAGGAGGTTTACCATATGATAAGAAAGTGGATAAGACTTTTAAAAGTCACATATTAAGGAATGCTTTATTGCGTGTCTGGAAAAAGTATAAGTATAAATTAAACGAATAGTTACCAATGTGGGCAATACCCAGACACGTGATAGACAATATAAGTGTAGAACAAAAACAAGATGTGATTACATACAAAGAGCTTCTTAACAAGGAAAGAGGTATACTACAACTAAAATCTTTGAATCAACTAAGAGAAGAAAGGATAATTCAAACATGGTTTCAATATGTACAGTTGCAAGCTAGATGGAAAGAAGATCACAAAATTGGTATTTTGCAAAATGAGGAGAACTTGGTAAAACAGATTAGAGATCAAAGTCAAATGCATATAAAAAGGTTGCATAATGCATTGGTAGAAATAGATTCAGAAACGGAGTTAGTTAAGGACTTTATGATAAAATGGGCACAAAACATTGAAGAACCAATAATGATGGAAACGTGGGAAAAAATATGGGTTAGAAATGTGAAGTTTAAGCAAGCCCAAAACTTAAGAGAGATTTTTTATAAAATGTTTTATAGATGGCATCTAGATCCTAAAAAGCTAGCCTGTATGTATCCAAGTGTGCAACCGAAGTGTTGGAGATGTGAATGTGATGATGCCACGTATTATCATATATGGTGGACATGTAAAAAAATTAAGGCATTTTGGATAAAAATATGGTGGATTATTCAAAATATTCTCAAAAAGAAGATAAAATTTACTCCACAGTTCTTTTTGTTAGGCATAATTAGAGATTGTACGGTTATAGAGACTAAGTTGATTTTAAATTTAATAAGAGCAGCCAGACTTTTGGTGGCGCAGTATTGGAAGAAGGAAGACTTACCTACCATTGAAGAATGGACACTAAAAGTAGTGAATTTAGCAGAGATGGCAAAAATTTCAGCGTATTTGAAGGACCATTCAAATGAAAGATATATATCGGAATGGAGAAGATAGATTGACTATATTCAAAACAAATATCGGGCTAAAAAGCTTCAAATAGCTTATGAATGAAACCAACTTTTTCTTTTTGAATTATGTTTTGTTAGTTGAAAGGGGAGTTAAAGAGCAAGAGGGAATTAAGAGCCTACAGAAAGTTAGCATATTTTAGTTTATGTTTGTTAAATGTTACACCCTGTATTTGCTCTGGGAAGTCTGAGGTGGGGGGAGGGGGGTTGGAGGGAGAGGGGGGATGGGGGATGGGTGGTGGGGAGGAGGGAAGGGGGGGAGGAGGGACAGGGAAAAATGTTGTAATGTTTGATAAAACTTTTTAATAAAAAAAAAAAAGGAGGGAGGAGGGTGGGAGGCCCTGAGAGGCCCACAAAAGAGACACACTCACAACACCAACACAATTGGCACTTGGGGCACTTGCGGAGGTTATCAAAAATCACTAGATAAATGAATAAAAGTGAAGGTGAAATCTCCATATTAAATATTATTGGAATGAGAATTATTTCAAGTACTGTGCCAGATGATAAGAATGTTGGGCTGTTTGTAGGGGAAAAATGAACTTTAAATATCATCCAGAAACAAATTAAATAGCTGAATATTATTATCTCCATGAAAATATCCTCTTTGGTAGTAAAAACATTTCCAAATGCATCTTATGTGGCAGGTGAA